ACAAGCAAGAACATGTATACAGAGTGACACAGGTGCTGTAGGACACAAGCAAGAACATGTATACAGAGTGACACAGGTGCTGTAGGACAGAAGCAGGAACATGCATACAGAGTGACACAGGTGCTGTGGGGCAGAAGCAAGAACATGTATACAGAGTGACACAGGTGCTGTAGGACAGAAGCAGGAACATGTATACAGAGTCACACAGGTGCTGTAGGACAAAAGCAAGAACATGTATACAGAGTGACACAGGTGCTGTGGGGCAGAAGCAAGAACATGTATACAGAGTCACACAGGTGCTGTAGGACAGAAGCAAGAACATGTATACAGAGTCACACAGGTGCTGTAGGACAAAAGCAAGAACATGCATACAGAGTGACACAGGTGCTGTGGGGCAGAAGCAAGAACATGCATACAGAGTGACACAGGTGCTGTGGGGCAGAAGCAAGAACATGTATACAGAGTGACACAGGTGCTGTAGGACAGAAGCAAGAACATGTATACAGAGTCACACAGGTGCTGTAGGACAGAAGCAAGAACATGTATACATACAGAGTGACACAGGCACTGTGGGACAAAAGCAAGAACATGTATACAGAGTCACACAGGTGCTGTAGGACAAAAGCAAGAACATGCATACAGTGAGTGAGTATGGTTTTACGCCGCTTTTAGCAATATTCAAGCAATATCACGGCGGGGGACACCAGAAATGGGCTTCACACATTGTACCCATGTCGGGAATCGAACCCGGGTCTTCGGCGTGACGAGCAAACGCTTTAACCACTAGGCTACCCGACCGCCCAACATGCATACAGAGTGACACAGGTGCTGTGGGGCAGAAGCAAGAACATGTATACAGAGTGACACAGGTGCTGAAGGACAGAAGCAAGAACATGTATACAGAGTCACACAGGTGCTGTAGGACAGAAGCAAGAACATGTATACAGAGTCACACAGGTGCTGTGGGGCAGAAGCAAGAACCTGTATACAGAGTGACACATGTGCTGTGGGGCAGAAGCAAGAACATGTATACAGAGTCACACAGGTGCTGTAGGACAGAAGCAAGAACATGTATACAGAGTCACACAGGTGCTGTAGGACAGAAGCAAGAACATGTATACAGAGTCACACAGGTGCTGTAGGACAGAAGCAGGAACATGTTTACAGAGTCACACAGGTGCTGTAGGACAGAAGCAAGAACATGTATACAGAGTCACACAGGTGCTGTAGGACAGAAGCAAGAACATGTATACAGAGTCACACAGGTGCTGTAGGACAGAAGCAGGAACATGTATACAGAGTCACACAGGTGCTGTAGGACAGAAGCAAGAACATGTATACAGAGTCACACAGGTGCTGTAGGACAGAAGCAAGAACATGTATACAGAGTCACACAGGTGCTGTAGGACAGAAGCAGGAACATGCATACAGAGTCACACAGGTGCTGTAGGACAGAAGCAGGAACATGTATACAGAGTCACACAGGTGCTGTAGGACAGAAGCAGGAACATGTATACAGAGTCACACAGGTGCTGTAGGACAGAAGCAAGAACATGTATACAGAGTCACACAGGTGCTGTGGGGCAGAAGCAAGAACATGTATACAGAGTCACACAGGTGCTGTAGGACAGAAGCAGGAACATGTATACAGAGTCACACAGGTGCTGTAGGACAGAAGCAGGAACATGCATACAGAGTCACACAGGTGCTGTAGGACAGATACACTACTTGTAAAAGATTTTTGGGCATTTCACAAAGTACACCTAATGTAATGGCGAATGTGGAAGGTATCCATTATTAAATGATTCTTTACTAAATCGTATTAAGTATTGGTTAACACTTATTCACATACTTCCTAAAAAAGCCGATGACATGCTATACCTTTAAGATGTGAAAACCAGATATCCTTAGGCAGCACGGGTCAAACAGTCATTATATAAACTTCTGTTCGGTTATGTTTAGATCTACCAAAATGTAGGACTCAAAGCGTGCTTTAGAAATGAAATAAAAATACAACTTTGTAGCTGTGGTCATAGCGTGGGAGGTCATACATGGACCCAGAGTCCACCATTACCGCGAGAGATGACTGTACATGTAATTGTCGCAACAGGAAGCCACTTTATTACCGATGCTAAGCATCCATTGAGACCACTCGATTCCCATACTCACAAACATGAACTAGTAACTGGGACAAAAACTGCTGAATCTCAAAATATTTGTTCATGTTGTTACAGATAAGAAGGTTTAAGAACACTTACAGATTTAGCAGCCTGGAGTATCTGCACTTTGTAGCCGGCACAGCTGTTGGGGAGCTGCCGCCCCACTGATGACAGTGATTGAAGGATCTCGCGCAATGCTTTGTGGGATTCTGTAACATGAAGGTATAAAGGGTAGGAGGGCAAGAAGAGAGAAGAGGTGCAATGATTACTGGATGCAACATAGTAAGAGGATCAGGATGCACACTACTATCAAGCAGAATAATGGCATGGTCAAAATAGGTTTTCAGTGCTGGAAGGGCACACTTACAAATCATTTTGAATAACAAAAATAGCTTATGACACTGCTTATAATATGAAATCTGCGTAGATTACAACACTTAGATTTTGTATCAGCTGATTGCCAAATTCACTTCCAGACAGTTATATTTGGAAAAATTTGCGTCACATACAAATTCCAATTGAAAAGCACATCATGCCTAGTCTTCAACAGTCGCTCACTGTCCATTTAAAAAAAGCGCCTTTCTTACAAACAAGCAGATGCAGATAAGTATACTACTTTTCATTTAGTTTAATATGATTTACAGGGATTGTTACAAAACAGGTTTCCAATTTAAAATACCCAAATGTCAAGAAACAGGTTGGTATTAAAAATGTGAATATACCCTCTAAAAATTGTTGATACCCAATCAGACTCAAACCCCTTGTTAAAATACCCAAACAACCAAAGCTTACCTAGACCTCTATCAATGATGAGGGTATGGGCAATCTTTCTCAATTACCAATGCTATTTAAACTGCCTGAAAGATGGATTCTAGGGCTGGGACAGGTAACTTGGGTACCCGGGTCGGGTGGGAACTGAGTAGGACCCGGGTACCTACATGACTACCCGTACCCGTGGTTAGTCATCTGATATATAGTTTAATGACAAAAATTATCTGGAACTCTATGGTTACACTACAAGTCACTAATGTTCGCATTTCTTCTGACTATGCAACCATTCCTTCTGACTTTTCATATGGAATCCATTGCCAAAACTGTTTCATTTTCTGTGAGTCTACCTTTTGTCACTTGTCACCATTGTGACATCCCATGGAAACACCTCATGTAGAATGTAACTAGATACCTGAAAAATCTGGCTATGAGGGCTTACTTTCTGTGCTGAGTATGGCCAGGAGGTGATCAATGACGTTGTCTGGTGAGAAGCCAGGCAGTCGACACAGGTGCCCCAACATCTGTGCTATCTTGCTCCTCACTACTGCCTCTTTCTCACGGTGGTAGTGGTCCATCAGCTCCCCGACTACATCCATAGCAGCTTCACCAGACACTGACTGCAGGCCTGCCTCAAAGTCCAGGAGCACCTGCAGGGCATCGTGGGAAGTGCTTGTATTCTGCAGATCAAGATGAAGGTCGGCTGCAGGAGGCTTGTGCTGGAGGCGGAGCTTCTTCACAGGCTTTGGCTCTTCCTGTATACCAGTAGATTGAGATTAAAGGCATATCTATGTTTTTGATGAAATTCTGACATGTTTAGCTTTCAAAATATAAAGTTCACCATGGTCAATATGAACCATAAATACAGTGAATGAGTTGGGTTTGACGTTGCTTGGAACAGTATTCCAGTTATAGCTTAATGTGATTATGACAAACCTAGAAACATAATCTAGGCGAACTAGTATTCAATCCCACTATCATATCTATTCTGGCATGCCCATGGGACGCAACTCTGGACAGCAACTTGCGGCATATTAAAAACTAGCGCCCCTAAATAGACAATTAAATCACACTTCTCATAACCATGACAACTGCCCCCCCCCCAAAAAAAAACCCAAAGACATTTTCCTTTGTTGACTTGATTTTGTTGACGCCTTGACTACAAAGGCGCTCAGATTGTTTCACCACTCCGTCATAAACACTTTTGAGTGGTTGACCTCAGTGAAAGTAAGGAAAACTGTTAAATGTAATCATAGTGGTCTGGCAAAGTGTAATATTGTGCCACTTGATGGAGAAGTGTTTCTGTATCAATTGGTCCTGTCAGGTACATAAAAAACGAATTTGAACCCTATTTGAGAAGGATTATTGTTTACAGAAACGCATTGTCACTCTCAACCGGTACCCCCGGGCTTCACTGCTGCAAATAGCAAGCCTGTCACCTGTGTTACGCAGTGTGTACCTGAATCACTTGGCTGTACTCCGCAAGAGCTCTCTTCTTTAAGAGGGCAGCCATCTTCTTCTGCCACAGATGGAACAAGTCTAACTCAACCTAGCCCTCAACCCACAAGCAAAGTACCATACACTTTTCTTTTCTATTAGTATATTTTCAACAACGTGAGATTGATCTTATAATAAGCTTGTCGGAATCCATTCCAGTAGCAAACTCATGGTTTGACTGGTTCTTGTTATTTAAAGTCTTATTTGCTCGTGCGCAAGATGGAATCCAGTTCCTGTTTTTTCACTCAAACCGCAGTATGGTCAATGGGCAAATGCCAAAATCTTCCATTTAATTTTTAGGTGACTTTCAAATAAATATGTACAAAAGACAAGCAAAATATCCTTCATTTGGGAAATTGTCTTCATTTGGCTCCAATTCGTCCTGCTAAAACAACACCCAAGAACGACATGTTATAAACTTGGCTCAGACTCTACACAATTTCAACACGGTAAGCGCAAAGAGGGCAGTCGGCTAGTTTAGAGCGGGCTTTACACACCAAGAGAAGATAACTCCTGTGTACTTCCTTGAGCAGCCACCACGATTGTTGTTGTGTCAAGTAGCCGTACCGTTACATAAACAGATTGGCAGAACTTAATGATGAAGGCGACATCGGTAAAATTAATAATGATTGCAATAGATTTGTTTGCGCCTTTGGTGCTAACAGGTCCTTCATCAGATATCGGTCTGCGCTAATGTGAAAGAGGTGAAACGTAAGACAACCAGAGTCCGAACGTAACTTGAAATGGAGAATGTTACTACATACTAGACCTCACTGTTAGTCTGCACTACGAACTATTGGTAACAACGCAGTTTAGCTCAGCTTACTCTAGCGCTAATGTGGCTCTTTCTGCCGACTGTGGCTCACGCTTCACGGATTTCGCGTGCCTCCGTTTCTACGGGTTGTGTAAGGGTAGGATAAAATTACCCCCAACGCTATATTCTTAGGCCTTTTATGCCCTTTACAATCATAAGGGGTAGGTACCTCATCAGCAAAAGGTAACCTTATGAGAGTAAAGGGAATCCAAGTGTAAAGTCTATAAGTCATACCTGTGGTACCTGATGACTCACCTATAGTCATACCTGTGGTACCTGATGACTCACCTATAGTCATACCTGTGGTACCTGATGACTCACCTATAGTCATACCTGTGGTACCTGATGACTCACCTGTAGTCATACCTGTGGTACCTGATGACCCACCTATAGTCATACCTGTGGTACCTGATGACTCACCTGTAGTCATACCTGTGGTACCTGATGACTCACCTATAGCGACATCTGTATGCAAGCAAACGACCTCATCAATTTGACCTGGCAAAACATCATTGCCAACTTCCAATTCACCTGATGAATTGATTATCCGCTCACCTGTGTGTACACCTGCCTGTTAACATCTACTATCATCCATGGATTCACCTGACACATCACCTGTCAAGTCTGTCCCATGTACACCTACCACACCTATCTCACTACCTATGGGACCATCCCCAGGTAAGGTGTGAGTGAGCATGTCACTAGACCATCTCAAGTTGACACCTTCACCATCATCAACATGCATCAACATGCACTGAAGGGCTATCAACAGGTGAGCAACCCTGTGACCTGTGTACTGACATCTAAACAAGACTCCATGGTATCACCTTGTATACCTGTGTGTATATCAGAACCTATACATGTCATATCATCCTTGACACCTGCAAGTGTATAGACATCCTTGTCATCTAACTCCTGAGTCCTGTCAATGTCAAGATGGTTGAATGGTTTGTCACCTGCGGTATTATCAAATGTATGAGTGGCATCCCCATTACCTAACTCCCCATACACTTTGGCAACATCAACCTCTTCAATGACACCTATCGCTACTTGCGCAGGTAATTTAATCTCTAAGCTGGTAGGGTTCATCATTCTAAACAAGGCTATCTGATTGACAGGTGACGTGAGACATCTAGCACCGTACACATGTAATGACTCTGCAACAGACTCAGTTGGCTCCACGATGCCTAACTTTATATCTGGGTCATAAACATATACAGGTAACAAAGTCCCGGTGTGAGGTGAAAGCACCGCATCCCCTTGGAGCATAGCATTCTGACTCAGAGCAACAATCCTGCAAGCACACTAGCACGCAGGATCAGATCCTCCTCATACACATATTCCTCACAGAGTCACTGCCCTAGAATCTCCACTGTCAACCAAGGGTCCACTGTCAGCTGTTCAGTGAGATTATTTTGATGAATGGACAGCACCCTGGTCAACTGTTATCCCAGGGGTACCTTGGTGAAGGATGTTACATCGTATTCTACCATGAATTTGGAATTTACTCGATTCTGATTGGTCAATCAGAGGCTATTAAATCACAATAAACCCCCTCTGATTGAAACAGCTGGTTTGATGGCAGCATCACCGTGGAAGCTAATATTCATAGAATAGTACTATTTTCAGTCATTGTAGGTAGGCATATATAAATAATTATATCTACAATTACAGGTTACAAAATGCACAGATGCGGTTACTACAATATTCAAAGGATGTGTGGCAATACATTTCGTGCAGAAAAACACGAAATCAACAAAGAGAATGTATTTATGTTTTGGAGACAACAGAGAGCTTGTAATTTTGGCGCTTTTCTATATACGACTGAGACGTCATATCTTTTGCGTCACAATGCGCGATATGACGTCAAAATGGTGACGTGCGATGTAGAGCGAAAGCCTTTCAAAGCTTGCTTTGTTTTCTTTAGGGATGCCCACCTCATGTTAGCTTACCAAGTTGCCGTGCTTATATGCTTTCAATGCTTGTCATATGTTTGAGTGAAGTATTACAGTGTAAACAAACTGCTTGAGTTTATACAGCACCATATTTTGTTCGGTGATTCCGTAATTCAGATTGATAACCCACTCAAAACACTGAACTCAACCCATGCCGCTTCACTCAGTATATTTGCTAACACCAAAGAGTTCACGTTTTATTTAGTCATGGTAGAATGATGGAGATAAACATACTGTGTTTTCAATGTAGAGCTAGGTTACCTGTAGATTTAACCGCGCTAAATTTAACATTTGAAACCTCACGCTGCGCGTTCGGTTCCAAATTCAATTTAGCGGGGTTAAATCTACAGGTAACCTAGCTCTACATTGAAAACACAGTATGTTTATCTCCTAATTGCCACAGTAGTTGACTGTTCTGCATCATGTATCGCCAATGTGCTCATTCTCAGACTATGTTTTATTGGGTGAGTAAAGATGTGTCAACAACACTCTAGATGTATTGGTGAGCTGTGTTTGAGATACAGTACGACTTGAGACTGCAACTACAACAATCCTCAATGCTTTCACATTGAAACATTCAGATCCTCATTACAAGCTACTGCAGTCGGTTTACAAAATATTTCTTAGTGTCACATCAGATATTCTGAGGGTTTGCTGTGCTCTTGTTGCTATTTGCTGCAACTTGAGTTTCCGGTCAACAGGGCATCGTATGTCTTTTGGCGTGTTAGGATGTCACAACAAAAATGAAACAGGTACTGAAATAACAAATGTATCATCAGTAGCATAAACTAATGTTTGTGAAACAGTGGGCCGCTGCCACCATAGGCTATTTCAAGTAACATAGTATTGTTTTGTTGATGTATGTTGCAACCTAATTTTAAAAATTATGTCATAGGTTATTGTCAAATGCTCCGACTTTGTGGTGTTACTGTTTGGCTGTTTGTTTAGTATTTCCGGTGGATGTTTAATTACCCTCCGTGATTGATTGTAAATGCACGAGCAAGACAGCTTGCAGGTTGAGCTTTGGTTCTTTTGAAATTCAATCAGGATTGATTTAAGACATTTCGAGGCAATATTCGCAAATTTAATATTTGACAATCAGAAAGTTTGTTGTCCGTCATTACAAATGTGAACTTCCTTTAAGGTGGCACTTCCCACGAACCATGTGACTGTAAACATGAAGGTTTGTGTAAAATAAAGGAGATGTGTCATTTGTCCAGTATACACGTGTCCTACCTTTGACTTCACTTCATGGATGTAAAGGAAAGCTCAAACAGACAAGACCCTTCTTCCAAACTGCAGCTCAGTTGAGATTCTTTAGTGGGATTCACTATTGAGCCAGGGCCTTGAACTGTGATCTGGCTAATACGGCCCTATCTCAAAGAGGCTCTGACCCGTGGAGGTCCAGACTAGAACAGGTCTTCAGCAAGCCTTGCTTGCCATAAAAGGCGACTGTGCTTGTTGTAAGAGGCAACTAACGGGATCAGGTGGTCAGGCTCACTGACTTGGTTGATGCATGTCATCATATCCCAGTTGTGTGGATCGATGCTTGTGATATTAATCGCTGGATTGTCTGGTTGACTCAATTATTTACAGACCGCCTCCATATAGCTGGAATATTGCTGAGTGCGGTGATAAACAACTAACCATCCAACAACCAAATCAAAATGGCTCCATCATAGCTCTTCATTCAGGAAAACAAATCTTTCCATCAGAAATATCTTGAGTCTCATTCAGAAACATTTTCATGATTCCTGTAGCCTAAATCTGGACAACAGAACTTCTCATTTCATGTGTTCGGTTGTGTATCCAGTAACGTTCACTATATATCTTCTGACCGGTGACCAGTTATCACATGTGTGTTATTTCTTACATAGATGAAAATAAAGGTACCACAAACTGCCATGTCCGTAGAATTTAGAGCAAAATCACACATTTTAGAATATACAGTCAAACTCTTTTAGACAGTGATATAAAGGAATGAAAGAGGTGGCAATTCAACTTTCTCGTCGACTTAAAATACAGCTTATCATCATCAAGACACATGCATTGGATCAAGTGCATGTCTTCAGTTGTATAAATTGTTGCATGCTGTTATAAGCTGTTGGTGTAAGAAAGTGCAAATAAGGGTTTGGCTAGTGCTTGAAGATGTGCTCTACGATTGCTACAGTATTAGGTGGTTGGGTTATATATTGGATGTGAGGCAGTAAGCATGGTCAACATTGACTGAGAATATATATATATATATATATATATATATATATATATATATATATATATATATATATATATATATAAATTTTGCCACTTCTATCAATGAGTTGATATATTTGATATCAAAAGACACGAGGGTGAGATTTTATTTATCATCCAACTTCATTCTTCCAACTTCTTCAATTTGTAGACAATAATTAGCAGTGTCTTCAGTGTAAAAAGTACTGCTAACAGCTTCAGTAGCAGAGCCATTAGTGATGTCATTTGATTGTGACGTCATGGTAACGTCACAATCTGCATGGTCTGCAAAGCATTGTGATGTAATTTCATTGCAGCGTCATCTACAGTGTAGATATCGCTTGATCTCATCCAAGCGATATCTCCTGTGAGAGCCAGTTTTGGATGATATATATATATATATTATTATTATTATTATTATTGTTATAACATCTTGCAGGAGGAGACGCATTTGAAGAAGAGACTGCAGGTGTTTCTTGCGGAGATGCTGAAGCTGGGCACAGTCAAGGGCTTCAAGTACTTCGCTTCATACATGAGAGGGCGTGAGGAGATGGTCATCAGTGTCGTCAATGAACCACAGGTTGCAATCACCTTCCGTGCTGCTTCAGCCTTGACTGACCAACCTTTATCACTGGCAGAATATTGCAGCATGTCCTGTTGTATCAGATGGAAGGGCATTGGACCTCCATTTTGTGATTAAATCTTCAGGAATGGCTTTTTGTATTCCGCACTTGATTCTCTCGCTCTATATTCCTGTAACTAGCTCTAAGTGTGAGGGGATGCTGAGGGTGGTCTCACAAAGTGTTTTCTAGCCAGCTCCAAGTGTAGTCAAAGGTCTTAGGTCAATGAACATGGTGTCTACCGCAGATGAAAAGTTTCATTGTCCAAATCCCAGATATTGCATGTGTGTGTGTATGTGTGATTGCAGACCCCCAACAACAGCTACAGCAGCGAGCCAGGCACTCCCCTGCACAACACAGAGTTTGCAGCAGGCTCCAGCTTCACCTCCAACAACCTCCCCTATGACAAGTAAGTGTGGTGCACTCAAAACAGCATGTATGTGTGTAGAACCCAACAGTTATCATATAGTTGTTGATTAGACCACAGTCAATAGGGAAATTTGATTAAACTTTCGTCTAAAGATATTTTGATCTTTCATACATATCAGGTCATCTAGTTCCAGTATGTTGTGTGTTGACCTTTCATGCATATCCAGTCATCTTGTACCAGTATGTTGTGTGTTGACCTTTCATGCATATCCAGTCATCTAGTACTTGTATGTTGTGTGTTGACCTGGCATGCATATCCAGTCATCTTGTACCGGTATGTTGTGTGCTGACCTGGCATGCATATCCAGTCATCTAGTACTTGTATGTTGTGTGTTGACCTGGCATGCATATCCAGTCATCTTGTACCGGTATGTTGTGTGTTGACCTTTCATGCATATCCAGTCATCTAGTACCGGTATGTTGTGTGCTGACCTTTCATGCATATCCAGTCATCTTGTACCAGTTTGTTGTGTGTTGACCTTTCATGCATATCCAGTCATCTAGTACCGGTATGTTGTGTGTTTACCTTTCATGCATATCCAGTCATCTAGTACCGGTATGTTGTGTGCTGACCTGGCATGCATATCCAGTCATCTTGTACCAGTATGTTGTGTGTTGACCTTTCATGCATATCCAGTCATCTTGTACCGGTATGTTGTGTGTTGACCTTTCATGCATATCCAGTCATCTAGTACCAGTATGTTGTGTGCTGACCTGGTAGCATATCCAGTCATCTTGTACCGGTATGTTGTGTGTTGACCTTTCATGCATATCCAGTCATCTAGTACCAGTATGTTGTGTGCTGACCTTTCATGCATATCCAGTCATCTAGTACCGGTATGTTGTGTGCTGACCTGGCATGCATATCCAGTCATCTAGTACCGGTATGTTGTGTGTTGACCTTTCATGCATATCCAGGCATCTAGTACCAGTATGTTGTGTGTTGACCTTTCATGCATATCCAGTCATCTTGTACCAGTATGTTGTGTGTTGACCTGGCATGCATATCCAGTCATCTAGTACCGGTATGTTGTGTGTTGACCTTTCATGCATATCCAGTCATCTTGTACCAGTATGTTGTGTGCTGACCTTTCATGCATATCCAGTCATCTAGTACCGGTATGTTGTGTGTTGACCTGGCATGCATATCCAGTCATCTAGTACCGGTATGTTGTGTGTTGACCTTTCATGCATATCCAGGCATCTAGTACCAGTATGTTGTGTGTTGACCTTTCATGCATATCCAGTCATCTTGTACCAGTATGTTGTGTGTTGACCTGGCATGCATATCCAGTCATCTAGTACCGGTATGTTGTGTGTTGACCTTTCATGCATATCCAGTCATCTAGTACCGGTATGTTGTGTGCTGACCTTTCATGCATATCCAGTCATCTTGTACCAGTTTGTTGTGTGTTGACCTGGCATGCATATCCAGTCATCTAGTACCAGTATGTTGTGTGTTTACCTTTCATGCATATCCAGTCATCTAGTACCGGTATGTTGTGTGCTGACCTTTCATGCATATCCAGTCATCTAGTACCGGTATGTTGTGTGTTGACCTTTCATGCATATCCAGGCATCTAGTACCAGTATGTTGTGTGTTGACCTTTCATGCATATCCAGTCATCTTGTACCGGTATGTTGTGTGCTGACCTTTCATGCATATCCAGTCATCTAGTACCGGTATGTTGTGTGCTGACCTTTCATGCATATCCAGTCATCTAGTACTGGTATGTTGTGTGTTGACCTTTCATGCATATCCAGGCATCTAGTACCAGTATGTTGTGTGTTGACCTTTCATGCATATCCAGTCATCTTGTACCGGTATGTTGTGTGTTGACCTGGCATGCATATCCAGTCATCTAGTACTGGTATGTTGTGTGTTGACCTTTCATGCATATCCAGTCATCTAGTACCGGTATGTTGTGTGCTGACCTTTCATGCATATCCAGTCATCTTGTACCAGTATGTTGTGTGTTGACCTGGCATGCATATCCAGTCATCTAGTACCGGTATGTTGTGTGCTGACCTTTCATGCATATCCAGGCATCTAGTACCAGTATGTTGTGTGTTGACCTTTCATGCATATCCAGTCATCTTGTACCAGTATGTTGTGTGTTGACCTAGCATGCATATCCAGTCATCTAGTACTGGTATGTTATGTGTTGACCTTTCATGCATATCCAGTCATCTTGTACCGGTATGTTGTGTGTTGACCTTTCATGCATATCCAGTCATCTAGTACCGGTATGTTGTGTGTTGACCTTTCATGCATATCCAGTCATCTTGTACCAGTATGTTGTGTGTTGACCTGGCATGCATATCCAGTCATCTTGTACCGGTATGTTGTGTGTTGACCTTTCATGCATATCCAGTCATCTAGTACCAGTATGTTGTGTGCTGACCTTTCATGCATATCCAGTCATCTAGTACCAGTATGTTGTGTGCTGACCTTTCATGCATATCCAGTCATCTTGTACGGGTATGTTGTGTGCTGACTTGACATGCATATCCAGTCATCTAGCACCAGTATGTTGTGTGTTGACCTTTCATGCATATCCAGTCATCTAGTACCGGTATGTTGTGTGCTGACCTTTCATGCATATCCAGTCATCTTGTACCAGTATGTTGTGTGTTGACCTGGCATGCATATCCAGTCATCTAGTACTGGTATGTTGTGTGTTTACCTTTCATGCATATCAAGTCATCTAGTACCAGTATGTTGTGTGTTGACCTTTCATGCATATCCAGTCATCTAGTACCAGTATGTTGTGTGTTGACCTTTCATGCATATCCAGTCATCTTGTACCGGTATGTTGTGTGCTGACCTTTCATGCATATCCAGTCATCTAGTACCGGTATGTTGTGTGTTGACCTTTCATGCATATCCAGTCATCTAGTACCGGTATGTTGTGTGTTGACCTGGCATGCATATCCAGTCATCTTGTACCGGTATGTTGTGTGTTGACCTGGCATGCATATCCAGTCATCTAGTACTGGTATGTTGTGTGTTGACCTTTCATGCATATCCAGTCATCTAGTACTGGTATGTTGTGTGTTGACCTGGCATGCATATCCAGTCATCTAGTACCAGTATTTTTTGTGTTGGCCGTACATGCACCTTAATCATCATGAGTACTGGTGTCTTGTGTGTTGACTTGAAATGCATGTCTAATCATCATGAATATATATTGTGTGTTGACTTGAAATGCATGTCTAATCATCATGAATATATTGTGTGTTGACTTGAAATGCATGTCTAATCATCATGAATATATTGTGTGTTGACTTGAAATGCATGTCTAATCATCATGAATATATTGTTTGTTGACTTGAAATGCATGTCTAATCATCATGAATATATTGTGTGTTGACTTGAAATGCATGTCTAATCATCATGAATATATTGTGTGTTGACTTCAGGAGGTCACTGATGCTGTCTCAGCGGACGCAGATGTCTCTGAGCGGCCTCGGGGACAAGGGTGTAGGTTTGCCTCCAGCCTCCCCAAGTGATGATGAGACACAGGCCATGGTATGTATCCATTATCACATTGTACTTGGATATAGCACAGATTATGATGCTGCTTACATTCACTGGGAACAATTATTTCCAGATGTGTGGGTCACATGTTGATATCCACTTCCTAGATTTAGGACTCTGGGTTGGAGTAGACGCAGCAGATACTCTTCAGTCACTGTCACGCCCCACACTGGTCAGGGATTAACAGCCGTATTACAAGAGGATGTTCTCATCTGCCAGAGAAACTATGCTGCCTGGTCTCACAGCCATTGCAAGTATAGGTGTAGACTCTACTGATCTGTGTCAAACAAGTTGACGGTTGGACTCTCCACTACTTTGACATACAAGAAAAATACCATGATACAGACTTCGATTTATTAGCAAGCGTGGCAACATATTTTGGGCAGAAAACCTCACTTAAAACAAAGATTAACTGAACCGTGAAATTTAGTAACATCAACAGGATGGACAATTGGTGCCACACAGACTGTACTGTTATGTCTACCGCGTCACGATGCCTGAACTTTCTGTTTGTGGAACATTATGTTTTTAACTTACCCTGCTTTACTCCTTAATGCATTTACTGCTTGTTCTTGACAGAACAAAGAGCTGTTTGAGGTCTTTCTGAATAAGAAGTTGTTAGAACTAGTTGTGTGGCTAATCCCATGACACAGCTCCTATGTGACCATGGAAGTGATGACATCACTTATCATCACATTACTGCTGTCACTCAGAGAGAATGGTCACCTATTTTGAGCTCTCAGCTTTATCCATTACAATCCTTTGCATGTTATTACAACCCTATTGTTTTATGTGAATTATATCCTTCCTATGGTTTGTGTCTTCATACTTTACATATGATTTTTACTATTGCATTAATATTGTTCTTCCATTTAGCCAATTTGAATTCACTTTGTAGTCACGTTTTTTCTTGTGATGCGTTTTGTATTCTTTGTGTTGCTTGGTTCTTCTTATGCATTGTTGTACCTATGCTTCCCTATGGTTATTAAAGTGTTTATTCACTTTTCTTTGCGTAATCTTATCCCTTAACCTCCATGTTCTGGGATTTAGAATGTTACATACACACACAGTCATGGTGATTACACCTTCTGCTTCATTGCAGACTTATGTCCCGTTGTACTCAGTGCCACAGTAACAAGGCTTATGAAACTGCTGGATTGGATCCCTAGAGCCAACAACGCTCATGAGATCAGAGCAGTTACTGGACACGCAATTGGCTTTCAGACAACGGAGGTCCAATGTTTTCCTCAAGCCCTTGGCTGCGCCTGGCCTCTTGATGAGGGTTCTGTGAATGTTCCTGCCATTTCTCCCTGTCTAATCAGTGCCCGTTCAACTTTGGTTGAACGCTTCCTTGCAGAGGCCGATAGTACTCTCGTAGAATTGTTTTCATGTGACTTCTGGTAGACATGATCTGAACCAAATGTTGAAGGCCATCACAAATTCACGACTGATTAGACGTTTGACAGAATCTTACCTTGTCTTCGCAAGTCAATACCTGAGTATCATGGCCTTGGAAGATGTCGAAGGCATTCATAGTTTTGGCATTCTGGTCATAGCACTACAGGTCACCAGTCCTTGTTGCGACTAAGAAGCTCCTAAGATCAAGCCTTACCCGACTTGCGCAGTGTTAGCATGCCTGACATGGGGGTTACTCTGCTAACCAGCTGTTTGGCTTGGTAAATCAGTTTCTAGACTTTAGCACATGCTAATTTGCTTTTTGCTGGGACATCCACATAGTCTCGTAGCATCCATAGACAAGATTGGTCGAAGCAGGTAAAGATTTGCACAAGTGTGCTCAACGACTGTCATGAACTACTGCAGAGTTTATGTCCCTGAGGACCACATCTGAAAGTATGCCCTCCACCGTACCGTCCGATAAAGATGCATTAAGGAGTAATGCAGGATAAGTTAAAATATCTAGTAAAATCTAGATATTTTGTTATAGTTGTGTACTTATCCTGCATTACTTTGACTAAAGTAGCCCACCTGTCTCAGAGCTGCCTATCCCACAATGTCTTCAGATGTTACGATCTAGCTGTAATGTGATGATACGTGACGTCATCACTTCAATGGTCATGTGGGAGCTGTGTGATGGGATTTGCCACACAACCAGTTGGAACAACTTCTTCTTCAAAAAGACCTCACACAGCTCTTCTTTCTGTCAGAACAAGCAGTAAATGCATTAAGGAGTAAAGCAGGATAAGTATACAAATATAAAACAACATCTAGATTTTACTAGTATTTGAATGTGCCTACCACTGCTCTGTCATGAAGAAAATAAAGATCTAATCAGATTCTATACTACTGGTAGAATAGCTGTTTGAGTGACCAGGACGTTGTTGTTTGCCTGGCAGGATGAGTCGTCCACCGTGTTCCTGATCGCTGGCTACACCCGCTACTCCTGTCCCTATGTGTGGGTGCGCTCCAACCATGAACGCCTGGTCAGGCTAACTGGGGGAGACACTCAGGAGAAAGACAACCCTCTCAGACTCAAGTCCACATACAAGTGGAAGGATAATGGTGAGTGTGAAAATGATAGATAGCACCCAGGCTAAGTGTCTGTTCCCGCCATATTCAATGAGTCTGATCATCATGGCGTTGATAATTGTAAGAAGGAAAACCTGTCACAGATGTATCAACCAAATAGTGACCATTGCCTTGTCAAAGTTGAAACCACTGTGCACGTGCCACACCATCCACCAAGTTGTCCGTGGCGAGCGTTGGTGCACTAGGATTTCTATCTGTCACTGGACACTGCAATGGGCAATGCCTGAATGCGCTGATGCTCTTCCTGTGACATGTTCCTTCCACAGCGACATCATTTCATGTCAGGTCATGTATCCTATAGCGCCACTATCTCTATGAGCTGTCCATTTCATGGCTTGCAGTTACTGCAGTCGTGTACGACTAAAATCACCTCTACTCACAATCATCAGCAGGACTATGTTTGTGTTTACATGTGTTAGCTTTGCCCTATAATGTACTTGTGGATGGTTTAGAGCCCTTGATTAAACTGGAACCACTCTATATATAAAGACATCACTTTAGATCCTGTTTCTTGGTGTAAAAAACTATATTTTTGTCCTGAACTATTACAAACATCATTATCCTTATCCCATCAAAATTCAGAGCTAACATATACTTTTTTACACTACACATGGAGGTAGTTCATAGCTAAACTATACTTTATTCCACTACACATGGGGGTAGTTCAGGGCTAAACTACACTTTATTCCACTACACATGGAGGTAGTTCAAGGCTAAACTACACTTTATTACACTACACATGGAGGTAGTTCAAGGCTAAACTATACTTTATTACACTACACATGGGGGTAGTTCAAGGCTCAACTATACTTTATTGCACTAAACAAGGAGGTAGTTCAAGGCTAAACTATACTTAATTACACTGCACATGGAGGTAGTTCCAGGCTAAACTATACTTTATTTCACTACACATGGAGGTAGTTCAAGGCTAAACTATACTTAATTACACTGCACATGGAGGTAGTTCCAGGCTAAACTATACTTTATTACACTACACATGGAGGTAGTTCAAGGCTAAACTATACTTTATTACACTACATATGGAGGTAGTTCCAGGCTGAACAATACTTTATTACACTACATATGGAGGTAGTTCCAGGCTAAACTATACTTTATTACACTACACATGGAGGTAGTTCAAGGCTAAACATTACTTTATTACACTACACATGGAGGTAGTTCCAGGCTAAACTGTGCTTTATTACACTACATATTGGGATAGTTCAAGGCTAAACTATACTTTATTACACTACACATGGGGGTAGTTCAGGGCTAAACTATACTTTATTCCACTACACATGGAGGTAGTTCAAGGCTAAACTACACTTTATTACACTACACATGGAGGTACTTCAAGGATAAACTATACTTTATTACACTACAGATGGAGGTAGTTCAAGGCTAAACTATACTTTATTACACTACACATGGGGGTAGTTCAAGGCTCAACTATACTTTATTGCACTAAACATGGAGGTAGTTCAAGGCTAAACTATACTTAATTACACTGCACATGGAGGTAGTTCCAGGCTAAACTATACTTTATTTCACTACACATGGAGGTAGTTCAAGGCTAAACTATACTTAATTACACTGCACATGGAGGTAGTTCCAGGCTAAACTATACTTTATTACACTACACATGGAGGTAGTTCAAGGCTAAACTATACTTTATTACACTACATATGGAGGTAGTTCCAGGCTGAACAATACTTTATTACACTACATATGGAGGTAGTTCAAGGCTAAACTATACTTTATTACACTACACATGGAGGTAGTTCAAGGCTAAACATTACTTTATTACACTACACATGGAGGTAGTTCCAGGCTAAACTGTGCTTTATTACACTACATATTGGGATAGTTCAAGGCTAAACTATACTTTATTACACTACACATGGAGGTAGTTCCAGGCTAAACTATACTTTATTACACTGCACATGGAGGTAGTTCCAGGCTAAACTATACTTTATTTCACTACACATGGGGGTAGTTCCAGGCTAAACTATCCTTTATTACACTACACATGGAGGTAGTTCAGGTCTAAACTATACTTTATTACACTACATATGGGGATAGTTCAAGGCTAAACTATACTTTATTACACTACACATGGAGGTAGTTCAAGGCTAAACTATACTTTATTCCACTACACATGGAGGTAGTTCAAGGCTGAACTATACTTTATTACACTAAACATGGAGGTAGTTCAAGGCTAAACTATACTTTATTACACTTCACGTGGAGGTAGTTCAAGGCTAAACTATACTTTATTACACTAAACATGGAGGTAGTTCAAGGCTAAACTATACTTTATTACACTTCACGTGGAAGTAGTTTAGGGCTAAACTATACTTTATTGCACTAAACATGGGGGTAGTTCAAGGCTAAACTATAGGTTATTACACTACACATGGGGTAGTTCAAGGCTAAACTATACTTTATTACACTACACATGGAGGTAGTTCCAGGCTAAACTATACTTTATTACACTACACATGGAGGTAGTTCAAGGCTAAACTATACTTTATTACACTACACATGGAGGTAGTTCAAGGCTAAACTATACTTTATTACACTACACATGGAGGTAGTTCAAGGCTAAACTATACTTTATTCCACTACACATGGAGGTAGTTCAAGGCTAACCTATACTTTATTACACTACACATGGAGGTAGTTCAGGGCTAAGCTATACTTTATTACACTAAACATGGAGGTAGTTCAAGGCTGCACTATACTTTATTACACTACACATGGAGGTAGTTCAAGGCTAAACTATACTTTATTACACTACACATGGAGGTTGTTCAAGGCTAAACTATACTTTATTACACTTCACGTGGAGGTAGTTCAAGGCTAAACTATACTTTTTTACATTTCACGTTGAGGTAGTTCAAGGCTAAACTATACTTTATTACACTATATATTGGTGTAGTTCAAGGCTAAACTATACTTTATTACACTACATATGGGGATAGTTCAAGGCTAAACTATACTTTATTACATAACACATTGAGGTAGTTCAAGGCTAAACTATACTTTATTACACTACATCATGGGATATGGTTCAAACAGTATTTCTTAAATGAGAATATTTTTTTTCTTATCGTGCATTACGCCTGGATGATTCACTGCTTACCTTACTTCAGCAAAAGACAGTGCTCAGCGATGTTCTCAGGTAAAAACAAATGTTTCTGTTTTCAGCGGACCATTGCCGCTATCACGTGACCTTGATGACAAGTCACCTTCCTCTCATCACTGCCTGTCACATAACAGCAAGGATGTCTCTCAGCTGAGCTCTTCAAATTGGATATTTCAGACCCTTAGGTTAGGCTATTACCCTAAATTATGTCTGCCACGTGGCTCGTTGTTTCCCGCCATTTTTAATTTCTGGTCCATCTAAGGACATACCTTAGTTGGTGGATGATAGAGTGGAATGTCTGTTTGTAGACACCTCCCTTCAGGGTTGGGGCACTCATCTGCAAGGCCAGACAGCTGCAGGGCTGTGGTCCGGTGCTCATCAAAAGTGGCACATAAACAATTTGGAGTTGGAAGCGTTGATTCTCGCCATCTCACATTGGCAGAATCAACTACAGTCCGCCCAACTCGCAATATCCACAGACAATCAGGGGACAATGCACTCCCATTCCCTTCTTCAACAGACATTCAGGTTCTTTCATCTAGCGGAATGGCTGGAACTACAATTCATAGTTCAGCACATCCCCAGATGTCAGAACATATTGGCCGATGCCTTATCCCGACCAGACAGGGTGGCACCCACCGAGTGGAAACTTCACACAGAGGCATTTCAATTGCTGTTTCAGAGGTTCGGGCAACCAAACATTTAACTGTTTGCAACTTGCCAAATCCATCAACTTGTAACATATGTCTCCCTGTTACCGTATCCACAGGCTTTGGCGGCGGGTGCATTCAGCATCCCTTGGGAAGGGCTAAAAGCGTACGCTTTTCCGCCACCTGTTCTACCTCCCAAGGTGATACAAAAGATCAAAGAGACAAGAAATCTTGCTCTGACTTTGGTTGTGCCCTGGTGGCCATCAAGGGCTGGTCGTTGAGCTCAGAAATCTGGCAGAAACGGATCCTCCCACACTGGTCAAACCTACTCATCCACCCTCACAGCAAATTGCCTCACCAAATGCCAGACAGGTTTCGCCTGCCACGTGTAGTTCATCTTAAAAAGGCGTTAAGTGCAAAGGGTTTTTCGGCACGGGCAGATAAGGCTATCACTTTAGCTCATTGTCCCTCTACTAGAGGGTTATACAATGATAAGTGAGGATCATTTGAAACATTTGATCATTGAGACATCACCCGGATCCGTTTTGAGCATGGTACGCACAGAGCGGTACATCTCGGGTGATGTTGGAATTTTATAGCAAAAAATCCACCACTAGGCCAAACTGATTGTTCCTTCACTATCCCACAAATATCTATGATTGTGGGAGTTAAAGATGGGGGTGAACTCCTCTTGTGCCCGGTGCAAGCACTACGAGTTTTCATCTGCGCTCCAAAACTTAGATCACCAAACTTGATCCACTGAGAGCGAATAATTCTCACGAGATCAGGGCATTAGTCTCTTCCATGGAGTTATAAAGAAACTGTTCTATTAAAATGATCATTGAAAGATGTTTTTGGAGATCAGACACTGTTTTCGCTAGTCATTATCTTAGCGATGTGGCTCTTCAGGATGTCGAAGGCATGCACAGTTTTGGCCCTCTGGTAGTAGCCCCGCAGGTAACCAACCTTCAACGCAAATAATGAACTTGCCCCATATGGAGCCAGTCTACTTCCCACACAGGTCGTAATAGACACACCCAGTGGAAGAAATGAAGACAAGCTTTCTAATCAAGCTTTGGCTCGGTGACACAGTAGGTAAAGATTTTAGCTTTCGCTATCATCCATTATTACCATGTGTGTACAGGGTGTTACCCTTTAATTCTTATGTTAACCCAAAAGTTAGGGCATTTTTTCTGTGCCTTTTCCGCCTCATGGATTATTGACAAAAATGTGTTGTTTTGGGAGTTTGAATTATTGAGGTTTTGAACATCTGAAGGTATATGCGCCTTTAATCCGTCCGATATAGATGCATTATGGAGTAATGCAGGATAAGTAAAAAATGTGGTAAAATCTAAATATTTTTTACATTTGTATACTTATCCTGCATTACTAGCCATCCGTCGCAGACTTGCCTACCCACTTTGGCTTCAGAAACCTCAAAAGATTGTTTTTTAAGCTTGGGCGACAGACAGTGATGTGAGGTGACTTGTCATCAAGGTCACATGACAGCAGCGATGGTCCATGCAAAAACAGGTATTGAAATCTGAACATCTTTTTTATCCCCCGCCCCAACGAAGTTGGCCGGGAATATAGAAATGGGTTCCGTCCTTGTGTGTGTGTGTGCGTGTGTGTGTGTGCGTGCGTGTGTGTGTGTGTGTGCGTGTGTGTGTGCGTCCCGAAATCGTTTCCGGAGCATAACTCAGAAACCATTAAATATTTCTCTACGAAACTTTGCATGTCTATCAGACTCATGCTGAACTGGTGCCTTTTGCTACTAAGGAATTTTATAAATTTTTATTTTTTACGTTTCCATGGCAACAAGTTGGACTTAGGTTCTATAAGAGTGGTGTTAGTTTCCGGAGCGTAACTCAAAAACCGTTAAATCCTTTCTTACAAAACTTTGCATGTTAACCAGACAAATACTGAACTGGTGCCTTTTGCTATTTAGGAGTTTTATAAATTTTTATTTTTTACGTTTCCATGGCAACAAGTTGGACTTAGGTTCTGTAAGGGTGGTGTTCGTTTCCGGAGCATAACTCAAAAACTGTTAAATCCTTTCTTACAAAACTTTGCATGTCTACTAGGCACATACTGAACTGGTGCCTTTTGATATATAGCACTTTTAGAAATTTTTATTGTTTATGTTTCCATGACAACAAGTTGGATTTAGGTTCTGTGAGGGTAGGGTTCGTTTCCGGAGCATAACTCATAAACCGTTCAATATTTTTTCATCAAACTTTTTTTCATCATAGTATAACAAATAAACTGTTAAATATTTCCTTGCATGTCTATATATAAAGCACATACTGAACTAGTGCCATTTGATATTAAGGAGTTTTAGAAATGTTTATTTTAGAATTTCCATTTCAGCTATTTGACATGGGCTAAGAGAAATGTTGGGTCAGTTACCTGGTTTGGGACCATAACGTGTTAAAATAGGCGGGGGATATAGATGACTTTGTCAACTATACGCTTGTTTACCCAAGACCATTGCTGAGCGCTGTCTTTTGTTATCATAAGGTATGCAGTGAATGCGTTAAGGAGTAATGCAAGATAAGCATACAAATGTAAAAAAAATTTAGATTTTACTAACCTGTCTCAAGTTTTACTACCAGACCAACATTTCCTCGCTGTTACAGACGTTTGTATATGGGACATCATTGCCGAGTTAGTCAAGCTATGCACGTATCCAGCTCCCCGCAACCCATTTGCCGTGGACATTCCATTCTTCTCAACTCTGCCACTCTCAGAGCAGGTGTTGTCAACAGCAGCCATGGTGTCCTTCTTGCAGAAAGTGTTGATACACACACCTGATGACAGACCTTATGCTGCTAAAGGTAGGAGAAAGAGTTGATGCACACACTTGATGACAGACCTTATGCTGCTAAAGGTAGGAGAAAGAGTTGATACACACACTTGATGACAGACCTTATGCTGCTAAAGGTAGGAGAAAGAGTTGATGCACACACCTGATGACAGACCTTATGCTGCTAAAGGTAGGAGAAAGAGTTGATGCACACACTTGATGACAGACCTTATGCTGCTAAAGGTAGGAGAAAGAGTTGATACACACACCTGATGACAGACTTTATGCTGCTAAAGGTAGGAGAAAGAGTTGATACACACACCTGATGACATACCTTATACTGCTAAAGGTAGGAGAAAGAGTTGATACACACACCTGATGACAGACTTTATGCTGCTAAAGGTAGGAGAAAGAGTTGATACACACACTTGATGACAGACCTTATGCTGCTAAAGGTAGGAGAAAGAGTTGATACACACACCTGATGACAGACTTTATGCTGCTAAAGGTAGGAGAAAGAGTTGATACACACACTTGATGACAGACCTTATGCTGCTAAAGGTAGGAGAAAGAGTTGATACACACACCTGATGACAGACCTTATGCTGCTAAAGGTAGGAGAAAGAGTTGATACACACACTTGATGACAGACTTTATGCTGCTAAAGGTAGGAGAAAGAGTTGATACACACACTTGATGACAGACCTTATGCTGCTAAAGGTAGGAGAAAGAGTTGATACACACACCTGATGACAGACCTTATGCTGCTAAAGGTAGGAGAAAGAGTTGATACACACACTTGATGACAGACTTTATGCTGCTAAAGGTAGGAGAAAGAGTTGATACACACACCTGATGACAGACCTTATGCTGCTAAAGGTAGGAGAAAGAGTTGATACACACACTTGATGACAGACTTTATGCTGCTAAAGGTAGGAGAAAGAGTTGATACACACACTTGATGACAGACTTTATGCTGCTAAAGGGTAAAAAAAAACACAAACAATGCAAACATAAAAATTGATTGAGTTAAAATATGTTTTTTTTCATACTTTAATAATTTTCAATTACATGTTATTTTGAAAAAGAGTGGAAAGTGAATATTGGACATTCATCAAAAAGTAAATAAACATTTTACTCCCAAATGATCACTTTGACCCTTCTTCTCTTTGTATAAGTTTTTAAATTCCTAATGTATGTAACACTTCATTGTAACAATAATAACAGGAAGGACAATGCCATAATCAGGACAAGTTAGATTATTGTTCTATTTCCATTTCACAGTGTTGTGGATTTCTTTGCAGTGTTTGAGGATCTCCAGTTAGTGACAAAATGTCACTTCTCTGCTGTTCAGAAACTGGCTAAGGAGGGAGGGTTGCCCATTCTGCATCCACAGCAGCAGCAACAACAGCAGCAGCAGCGCAGGAAGATGAGTGGCGGTCAGTCTCAGTTGTCATCACGGAAACGGTATCCAAGCAGCGGCAGTCAGTACCCGGCCCAGTATGGGCAGTACCAGCAGCCCACAGCAGGCTACAGCTACGGCAGTCACAATACTTCCAGCTACTGACTCACTCACTCACACACACACACACACGCACGCACACACGCACGCACGCACGCACGCACGCACGCACAGGGGGCATTGACAAGGAGGGCTGTCCTAGGGTCTAGTCACAGAACTGACCTTCAAGGAGGACATAGGACAATGCTCCTGGGGATCTTTGAAGACTATGTTGTCCTTTGTATGGACACAACTAGGCAGAGATTACAGTATATATGTAATAGACATTATATAACAGATCTGTTTTGCTCTTCTAGTTGCCATAATATGTATTGTCATGATCTGTGCTGCATTAGTGAAGAGTATATTGTCGAAGATGTCAAATGCAAGGAACAGCTGTGTGTGAACTTGATTCATTTTATTGATGACATGACATGATTAAACATAAAACAAGAAGAAAGAATAAACAATTTAATAGGAATCTTTCATACAGCAAATGATGCTTCGTTCTACTAAAAAACTGCTTCAAATTTGGTATTATTTATGAGGAATCCTTGTGTTGACCTCAAATACTACCAGAATATATTGTATGTCAAATGTGGGCAGGTAGACATTCCACACATAGTGTAATGTAGCCACACCAGCCACCACTCACCTCTACACCTGTAGAGGTAATGGATGATGTATGGTCGGTGGAAGTATTGGGTAATCACCGTGTGTGATGGTTAGAGAAAATAGGGTAAACTACTTCATGTCATGTTAACCATGGATTTAGATGAATAATGTTTGTCTTGTTTATTGTTTTTCTTTCGTCATTATAAAAAAATGTCACCAAGCGACAGTTGCCAGTGTGTGTAAGATGGTAGTCAGTTGCAGGCGTTGTGTAAGCGGAGACATGAGAGATCTGTTTCATAAACTCATTGTGGGGTTTGGATCTCTTGGGTCTGTTCCCCAAAGGGACCTTATTCGATCTTATCCTTCTTTCCAACTTCTAACATAGACCCACACCTGTAGCAGTGCTACGGTGGCTTATTGGACAGAACCCAGGTCATCTGGCAGCAGTTGGCCACACTGTTGATCTGCATACACATCCGTGACACACTTGCTGTATTCCCTCTGTTGATGTTCTGGTATGGAGCCTACTAATTATAGTTGTATATATTTGAAAAGTAATAAATGTATCATCACCCACATATCATCACCCATATTTGTCATCTCATTACTGTATTCATCCCTCCGAGGGTTGTACTGTATATGTCCCATGTTTTAGTTGCATGTATGTAGAAGACTGATAGGAGTAAGTATGAAGAATATATTAGATAGCAGAATCATGTCCAGAGACTAGTGTCACCAGATGCTAACATGGTGTTGGTGATGGTACTGAGACTGTTCTGTGACATCTGAACTGGAGGATGAAGAGGACACCAACATCTTGTCCAATGTCAGCTGATCAATCTGCAAATGACTGAGATATTGTATGGTACACTCACTATATCTTATCTGTCTCTCTATGTCTGTCACTACATCCTGTTGGAATAATGGGTTCGCCTTGCTTGTAGCACAATCCGATGAACATAGAGTACAGTGGACAGTTTGTGTACTCTTCATGTCATCTACCACACTACTTGAAATTAGTGATACTCTTGTGAAGCCCTCATATGTCCTGCCTAGACTCAATTACTTACATGCAACCGTGAACCAATCGTAAAAATACAGGTAGCGGTAAACACCTTGAATTGTTAACGAGTCAATCATGCACTTTTTAGCTCCCACGTAAAATATAATTCCCACATGTGCATGTCAGCCAGCCAGAACACTGATTCAGTATTTTCAGAGGATAACCACAGCAATAAAGCCAAAGAAGGCACTGCATATGTGCAGTAGTTGTTTGTCCCACTCCAAAAAGTCACTCCAACAGGGATGAGTGAGCTATGTTTGGATTGACCTCTGCCCTGCCAACTTAATGCTGTCAATGGTGTCGGCTATGAAGGACGTGCTGTGAGCGTCCACACCTGGGACGTCTCCCCTGAACAAGGTTGTATGGTGAGAGTCTTCTTGCCTGCCTGGAGACATAGTCCACTGATTTTTTCATGTAAATATCTGTCCTGAAACAAGTCGAAGAAGATTATTTCAATCTGTGGCAATTGGAAACAAATATTAAAGGTTATTGACAAATGTGCTGTCACTTTTTCAATATTCGTTCTTGTGCTAGTTACACCGGAACACTGTCTGTGGCAAGTGTCTACCTGAGTGTATGTCCAGCTTGATCCCTGCCGAAGGTTTAGCCAGATATTTCCGTCCTTGACGTAAGTGTCGACTCTCTTGGAAGACATTGAGTTCAAATTTCACTGATAATTTCATTATTTTAATCTGTGGCAAAAAATGTAACGTAATTGACAAATGTGTTATCACTCTTTCAATATTCGCTCGTGCTCGTTACATATAAAAGAGTGTGTTTGACAAGTGTCTACCTGAGTATATGTCCAGCTTGATCCCTGTCGAAGGTTTAGTGAGACATTACCGTCCTTGACGTATAGGTGTTGATGGTAGTTCCAGATCTGCCCATTGTCACGCATGCACCAAAACTGAAGGTAGAGACAGATGCAGAGGGTGTTGTTTACTTTGCTTTAAAGCAATATTCCAGTTATAAGACGGCAGCCTGTATGTGATTGAGTGTGGACCAGGAATCCAGTTATTGATGTTATGAGCAACCATCCAGGGCTGTCGGGATGAGTTGACAAATGCCATCAATCAAGTCATGGAGCCGGTTCCCTGTTGGTTTCTAGGGACCAATCCTAACCGGGAATCCCTAAAGCTTCCGAATCTTACCACTAGCAATGGGGTGGTGCTGACACATTCGACCCCTGGTCACCACGGTTTACAGTATGAAAACAGTGTAAGAGTTTGGGCAGGACAGAACCACTTCGTGGGTTATATTTGTTAAGCTATAGTAAGAGTAACCTTGAACTAGGTCATGATAATATACTATTAAAAAAAAGTAGGGGATATTTCATTTTGCGATCATACTTGTAACAAATGCAAATGAATACGAGACAAAGTAATATAGATCCTTACAGAGGAAACATTTCCAGTGAAATTCGGCCCCCAAACACAATGGCAACCCCAGGATCTGCACGTGATGCTAGTGATGATCATGGGGGCTGAACACCAGATTTGCACGACTTTGAATTTGAAGGTTATACCCACTGTGGAAGGAAATTTGAAGGTGGAAACAGTTTAATTGTTTTGGAACTCAGTTACCAAACGGGTGACATGCGCCGACTTACACAAAATGAAAGGTTACGTGCCCTTGGCATGCTACAGGTTGGCACAACACAGACCGTTGTTGCACGGACGATGAACGTTTCACAGTCTGTCATAAGCAGATTATGGTCCAGATATCGTGCTACACATTCTGTTAATGATAGACGACGCTCGGGTCGACCAAGGGCGACAACTCATGCACAGGATCGATTTATCCGTACTTTAGCCTTGAGAAATCGTGTCATAACGGCTAATCAGATTAGAGCTCGACTACTAGCAGACACTGGTGTGAGAGTGAGTGCCCAGACGATCAGAAATGGACTGCACAGAGGTCATTTACACGCGCGACGTCCTCGCGTCATTCCATGTTTGAGAGATCATCACATAAGGGCAAGACGCCGTTTGTGTCGGGATCGTCAACACTGGGATAATCGACGTTGGAACAATGGAATGTTTTCAGATGAGTCGAGGTTCACTGTGGACTTCCTGGACAGGCGTAGGAGGGTGTGGCGTCGACGAAACGAACGTTTCCATGATGTTAACGTCATTAGACATGATCAATTTGGGGATGGATCTGTAAAGGTGTGGGGAGGCATCATTGCTGCTGGAAGAACGGACTTACATGTTGTTGCCGGACGTGTCACAGGCCAGTACTACCGGGACAACATCCTGGCAGCCCATGTTGTGCCGTTTGCACGTCGTCATGGCCGCCGTTTCATCTTCCAGGATGACAATGCAAGATGTCACAGGGACAGGATTGTTACAGATTACCTCCAACAGCAATATATCACCACATTACCATGGCCAGCGCTGAGTCCGGACCTGTCGCCCGGCGAGCATGTCTGGGACATGCTTGGACAGCAGTTACGTCAACGTCAACAACGTCCTACCACTATCCAAGAACTTGCTGCTGCGTTGCAACAGGAGTGGAATAACCTTGACAAAAATGACTTGGGACGCCTCGTAAGGACTATGCCACGTCGTATCCGTGCCTGTCTAGCCAACAGAGGGGGGTTTACCCGTTATTGACTTTGCTTTCATGTCATGGCAACTTTGCTGTTTGACCCTGGGTTTGGTTTTGCCCTTTGTATGGAAAATCTGTGCTTCACCGGCAGTACCAAAGGTGTTGAATAAATTGACAAATGTTCCCTTAATGTCTTTTCGTCATTTGTTTCCTCTTTGGGTTCACAATTTCCGTGTCATAAATCTTGTAAATCCAATATCCAATATTTTTTTTAATAGTATACTTTACTTCCAGTTACACCCCGACTAAGTGTGTTCTGTAAAGGCATATGGTGCATAATGATCCTACCTGATTGTAACCCTTGCCCCCGCATGTGTACATATACGGCAGCAGGGAGTGCCGCCCCATCGAGTCTATACAGTTATTGTAGGCAGCGTTCCGAATCTGAAAATGAAAACAACCTGGAATAACACAGCTTCCTCTTCAATGGTAAACAGCCATTATAGTAAGCATCCGGAGTTGGTCACGGTGTTTGATGGTAAATAGATTCGTTAATAAAAATAATATATTGCAAATGAACTCCCAAAGCTTGTTCATTTGTCCACCTCCCATTTTGTCCATCAGCATTTTCAAGCTTTAACCACGTCTGTGTTGTCCGACCGCCTGCAGAGCGGAATGAGACTTACATTCACTGGCCAGCTACAGTGAGAATACAGATGGTGAACACTCATACCTCTCCTACAGTCAGACAGTCTGTGGGCACTGGTAGTTCCGGGAGCACGTTCTTCAAGTACCACTCAAAGTTATGGCAGTTTAGGCTCCGCCGCAATTCTTGTCTTTCCGAGATATCTCCAACAACAACCTAAAGCGAAATGATATGATGACATAAGAAAAGCCCGAGTAACTTGAGCAGATTCTGGCCAACGGGATATGTACCCTTTCCCCAAATGTAACAGATGTAATCCAAGAATGTGTGATATACACCTGTCTCTGACTTCACTATTTCTACCAATTACAACCTTCCCAATATTTCAACCTGTCACCAACCTTCTCAGTATTTCTACCAATCACCGACCTTCTCAGTATTTCTACCTGTCTCCAGTCTTCTCAGTATTTCAACCTGTCACCAACTTTCTCAGTACTTCAACCTGTCACCAACCTTCTCAGTATTTCTACCTATCACCAACCTTCTCAGTATTTCAACCTGTCATCAGTCTTCTCAGTATTTCAATCTGTCACCAACCTTCTAAGTATTTCAACCTGTCACCAACCTTCTCAGTATTTCAACCTGTCACCAACCTTCTCAGTATTTCTACCTATCACCTACCTTCTCAGTATTTCAACCTGTCACCTACCTTCTCAGTATTTCAACCTGTCACCAACCTTCTCAGTATTTCTACCTGTCACCAACCTTCTCAGTATTTCAACCTGTCACCAACCTTCTCAGTATTTCAACCTGTCACCAACCTTCTCAGTATTTCTACCTGTCACCAACCTTCTCAGTATTTCAACCTGTCACCTACCTTCTCAGTATTTCTACCTGTCACCAACCTTCTCAGTATTTCTACCTGTCACCAACCTTCTCAGTATTTCAACCTGTCACCAACCTTCTCAGTATTTCTACCTGTCACCTACCTTCTCAGTATTTCTACCTGTCACCAACCTTCTCAGTATTTCAACCTGTCACCAACCTTCTCAGTATTTCAACCTGTCACCAACCATCTCAGTATTTCTACCTGTCACCAACCTTCTCAGTATTTCAACCTGTCACCTACCTTCTCAGTATTTCTACCTGTCACCAACCTTCTCAGTATTTCTACCTGTCACCAACCTTCTCAGTATTTCTACCTGTCACCAACCTTCTCAGTATTTCTACCTGTCACCAACCTTCTCAGTATTTCTACCTGTTACCTACCTTCTCAGTAATCTACCTGTCACCAACCTTCTAAGTATTTCTACCTATCACCACCCTTCTCAGTATTTCAACCTGTCACCAACCTTCTCAGCATTTCTACCTGTCACCAACCTTCTCAGTATTTCAACCTGTCACCAACTTTCTCAGTATTTCAACCTGTCACCTACCTTCTCAGTATTTCAACCTGTCATCAGTCTTCTCAGTATTTCAACCTGTCACCAACCTTCTCAGTATATCAACCTGTCACCTACCTTCTCAGTATTTCAACCTGTCACCAACCTTCTCAGTATTTCAACCTGTCACCAACCTTCTCAGTATTTCTACCTATCACCTACCTTCTCAGTATTTCAACCTGTCACCAACCTTCTCAGTATTTCAACCTGTCACCAACCTTCTCAGTATTTCTACCTGTCACCAACCTTCTCAGTATTTCTACCTATCACCAACCTTCTCAGTATTTCTACCTGTCACCTACCTTCTCAGTATTTCAACCTGTCACCAACCTTCTCAGTATTTCTACCTATCACCTACCTTCTCAGTATTTCAACCTGTCACCTACCTTCTCAGTATTTCTACCTATCACCTACCTTCTCAGTATTTCTACCTGTCACCAACCTTCTCAGTATTTCTACCTATCACCACCCTTCTCAGTATTTCAACCTGTCACCAACCTTCTCAGCATTTCAACCTGTCACCAACCTTCTCAGTATTTCTACCTGTCACCAACTTTCTCAGTATTTCAACCTGTCAGCAACCTTCTCAGTATTTCAACCTGTCACCTACCTTCTCAGTATTTCAACCTGTCATCAGTCTTCTCAGTATTTCAACCTGTCACCAACCTTCTCAGTATATCAACCTGTCACCTACCTTCTCAGTATTTCAACCTGTCACCAACCTTCTCAGTATTTCAACCTGTCACCAACCTTCTCAGTATTTCTATTTTCTCAGCATTTTTACCAGTCACTTACCTTGTCAGATCCAGTAGTCTGATAGAAGAACTTCTTGTAGTCATCCATCCACACCTCGGCTACGCGAGCAGCGTTCCTCCTTACACTGCCGGGGGTGGGCCAGTGGATGGGGTTGTTGTGGTGGAAGATGTGACCGACATGTGAGCAGGGCAGCAGCTCCACGCTGCCGTTACACATCCACACCTGCACCACAGACAGAGAGCAAGAACATACATGACGCAATGGATGCAGCCTCTGGCTAACTTGTTGAAACATTTATTGTATGTGACACAGCTCTACTACAGAGTTATTGCCATCTATGTGATCTTGTGCACTGTGGTATTAAGGGTGATGTGAGCTCGTCTTTACAGTATGCATGCATACCAGAATTTACCACGTTGGACTAAAGTGATTTGAAATCACACCTGCATGTATTTAGGTCAATATTTCTTTTAACCGTTACGCAAAACTGATGGGTACTCCTTAAGCCAAACCTTGAAAGACAGTTCGATGTTCTCCCCTCCCCAATAGTCAAGCCCTGGGTCGTAGGCTCCCAGCAGAGTGAAATAGGCCCGGGATATCGCGAACAACCCACCAGGCATTGTGGCGGATCTGAAAATACACACGGACACAAGTTTTGGTTGGAACCCTCTGAACATCCTGTAACAAAGACACATCGAACCATGTTAGTGACCGGTGCCGACTGTAGCCATGTTGACCTACTTGATGGGTGCAGTTTGGGGACGGGCGGGTTTGCTGTGCAGTTCATGGATGCCTATCCATCTGAAGATGAGATTTGTCCAGGAGAATGTCCCAACGCTGAGGGGAACATGGGGTTTGACAGACAACGTGTCCGGCTTGATAGACTCTATTGTTGGATATGGGACGGCATGAGGGTTCTCAGCAATCCGGTCCAGCAGGGGTTCGAGCCAACCTTACAAGAGATACCAAACCATTCACGATTGTCATGTTATCTTGCATTATGGTATCTTTCCTTCATATGTAAATACAGAGACAGGTTACAACAACCACTATGATGATGCAACAATCCGAGCCTACCTGGGAAACACTCGATGTGTGAGTCGAGGAAGACGAGGACGGAGGCGGTGGCGTGTTTGTAGCCAAATAGCCTTGCTCTTGTCAGCCCCTCACGCTGACCTGTCCGCAGTATCTTCACTATGCTCAGCCCAGACATGTACTTCTCCAGGGCTGCGCCAAGATGGTCTGGACAAATATGAAACACGGTTAATGTAAACCTGCGTCAAGCTATCTTGATCGGTTGCTCATAGTCGTTAATTCTTTCCACAAAGAGAAGTGTTGTCATATGAAGTAATTGGAGTCCGCGGTCGACGAGGTCGCATGAGCCAAGGTGTGAGTGACAGTGGTAGGCGAGGTCGCGCATACCAAGGTGAGATAGGCAGTGGTAGACGAGGTTGTATGTACCTAGGTGTGAGTGACAGTGGTAGGCGAGGTCGCGCATACCAAGGTGAGATAGGCAGTGGTAGACGAGGTTGTATGTACCTAGGTGTGAGTGACAGTGGTAGGCGAGGTCGCGCATACCAAGGTGAGATAGGCAGTGGTAGACGAGGTTGTATGTACCTAGGTGTGAGTGACAGTGGTAGGCGAGGTCGCGCATACCAAGGTGAGATAGGCAGTGGTAGACGAGGTTGTATGTACCTAGGTGTGAGTGACAGTGGTAGGCGAGGTCGCGCATACCAAGGTGAGATAGGCAGTGGTAGACGAGGTTGTATGTACCTAGGTGTGAGTGACAGTGGTAGGCGAGGTCGCGCATACCAAGGTGAGATAGGCAGTGGTAGACGAGGTTGTATGTACCTAGGTGTGAGTGACAGTGGTAGGCGAGGTCGCGCATACCAAGGTGAGATAGGCAGTGGTAGACGAGGTTGTATGTACCTAGGTGTGAGTGACAGTGGTAGGCGAGGTCGCGCATACCAAGGTGAGATAGGCAGTGGTAGACGAGGTTGTATGTACCTAGGTGTGAGTGACAGTGGTAGGCGAGGTCGCGCATACCAAGGTGAGATAGGCAGTGGTAGACGAGGTTGTATGTACCTAGGTGTGAGTGACAGTGGTAGGCGAGGTCGCGCATACCAAGGTGAGATAGGCAGTGGTAGACGAGGTTGTATGTACCTAGGTGTGAGTGACAGTGGTAGGCGAGGTCGCGCATACCAAGGTGAGATAGGCAGTGGTAGACGAGGTTGTATGTACCTAGGTGTGAGTGACAGTGGTAGGCGGTTTTGCTCATACCTATGTGTGCGTGGTTGGTGGTAGACGAGGTTTCACGTACCTAGGTCGGAGGCGTCGTCAACGAGGATAATCTCCTGGAGGAGGTGTGGTGGCGAGCGGTTGATGATACTGTGCACAGAGCGCAATAGGGTAGACCATGCCTCGTTGTGGAAACACATGATGACACTCGCCCTATGCCTGCTCTGATGACTCAATGACCGACATCTGCAACAGAGTATAAGCTATGGGCTGATTCACAGTGGAGGTCTTGTTTCAATATATTCCCCACTGCTCATGAAACCGTGACACACGTCTTGGTTTCCTGGGTTCATGGAAACACAACCTGCAACACTTACTGTGGTGGACCTGGATCCGGAAGTCGGCGGGTCACGGAAACGATGTCACTTACAAACTGGTTGAAGCTGTTTTTCTTGAAGCCCTCATCAAACGTCTGCTTCGCTTCAGCAGAAAGGTGGCTTGGTAAGACAATCACTGGGCGCCCATACTCACCTAGAGAATACAGATTCTATCTGAGAACAGCCAGCGAAAGACAAAAAGGTAGTCGACACATGTGATGTATCCGAGCTTAGTTAACGTCAAAGGTGAAAAGATTCGTTATGGTTAATGATGAGCTACACGTCTGGTAAACGTTTGTCAATAACCATATCTGTTTCTGAAGATTGAAGAATGTTTAACATTTCAAGGGACCCTATCTGTCTCAGATGTCAACAGCCAAAAAAACCATACCTCTTCCATAAGGGGGACTTTCAGCAACAAATGGAGGATACATGACGTCATCTGGATCATTAGACCACTTTCCCGTGTTCTTTAAGGGTTGATGCAGACCGCCAACACCCACCCCGTGAGGCCTTGTGACCGGGGACGCCGTCAAGTAGATAATCCCGAAACACAGACCACACACGAACATCATTGGTCTCACCAGTCGACGTGGCCGGGGGAAGCGCAGCAGCGACATGTCAAATTTCCGTATCTTCATCATTCAACAGCCGGATCAACAACCACACAAACTGGGAATGAAGACATAGATTACTAATAATAATTCATTTTAAAGTAAAAACGTTACACGCACAGACTAAAATCTTTATATGTGCATCTTGTGAAAGTTTCTTGCTACCACTCTTTTACCCCAAGATAATTGTATCTGGTCCTAAACGGAAATAACTAAACAGTTTCAGTTCAAACTACGGCATTTGAACAGTGTGGCCATAGAGAGGAATAGGTTTTTTTTCAATTGAAAGCAGTTTAATATATCAGAAGAATGAAGCTACATTGTCCAGATCTCTCGTCTAAGTCTTTCTTGCACACTAACTCACCACGTTGGTATATCAGAATGAAGCTACATAGTCCAGATCTCTCGTCTGACCCCTTCGTTGCACACTAACCTACCGCACTGTTGATCACCAGGAGTAGGCATTCTGTGGTCAGCTACCTCCGGTGTAATGTCCACTCACACAGGCGCGCCACTGGCCATAACACGTACATAAAACCACACTTATTTGACTGCAGTGTGTGTGTACTGCCCTCAAGTCTGATAAGAACTCTTAACGGAGGTGTTTCTGCATGTGGTGTTAGTTTATAACAGTTTGTGTAAATGCAGACAAACAAAACGTGTCGTAACTCACGCCTTTATATACCTTTATAGGCCTACTATACCTTTACTAATGTTCAATTAAATATTTCATATATTATTTAATGCTGATAAAATGACGTAAGAGAGTGGCTGTGTTTGCCATCAATAATAAGACATTGCCTGACTCTGTGTGTGCTCTCTGTGCACAGTGTTCCGAACATCTCCGCATTCAATTTGAGAGTGTCATTCTTCAATGGGATTTCAAAGTTTTGGCCTGGTCGCTATTCGTCAATTTTCGCGTTGCTTGCATTTACGCTGTAAAACTACAAATCCGAAATGGCGGTCTCCACTATTCGTGACGTTTCGTGCTGCTTGAAATTTAGCCGTAAAAATACAAATCGTGGAACAAGTTCAAAAGTGGGAGTTGCTTCCCTTGGGCACGCCAGAAACCTATGATTGTGGGTTTGAATCCCGGTTCGCCCCGATTATGTTTCTAGGTTTGTCAGCACCATACCCGTGCTCGTGGATTTTACTGAAGTGGTAAACGCCTGAGACCTGTATCACGTCGGGCTTTCCTCCCACATTAAGCTGACACACCGTGATATAACTGGAATACTACTGTTAAAAGCGGCGTTAAACCAAATTCACTCACTCACTCAAAAGTGGGAAACACCGTAATTAGGTAAAGCATATTTTATATCTATATACGGACATCTCACCTGTACCAGCATGTGTGTGAGACAACGGTGATATGTTTATCATATGTAATGTCTATATACGGACATCTCACCTGTACCAGCATGTGTGTGAGACAACGGTGATATGTTTATCGTATGTAATATCTATATACGGACATCTCACCTGTACCAGCATGTGTGTGAGACAACGGTGATATGTTTATCATATGTAATGTCTATATACGGACATCTCACCTGTACCAGCATGTGTGTGAGACAACGGTGATATGTTTATCGTATGTAATATCTATATACGGACATCTCACCTGTACCAGCATGTGTGTGAGACAACGGTGATATGTTTATCGTATGTAATGTCTATATACGGACAGACGGGGACCTGTCATGTGAACGCGCACAAGGTGAATGTCTCTGTCACACTTAAGATCGTGCTTTACAAACTTCTGAATTACATCAGGGGGATCTTCTCCTGGCATTTCAGGGATTCCATGAAAGAGTAAATTGTCCCTCATTGTGCGTACCTTAAGGTCAAGCACAGCTTCTTTTATGTCTCTCTGGTCTACTTGAATAGAGTCAGTTTCGTAGTACATATCCTCCATGTCTCTTGAGTGCCTGTCTCTTTCCTCACCACTATAGTTTTCAAAGTTTCTGAGGCGTTGTTTTAGGTTCTGTTTTCCTTTATAATCTCATCACATGTTTCACTATTACTTCTGACACGTACATCAATTTTATCTACACGTTGAATCGTCCCTTTGATTGTCACTTCGAGTGTAGTGAGCTTATTGGCAATGCTAGTTAGTTTTGTGTCCAGCTTTCAACATGTTTTATCTGTTCCTGTACAGCGTGAACCATGCCCAAGTCCTAATCCAGCTAGTGTTGATGTTAGTAGGGTCTAAACAACTGACCTGGCCTTGTGATCCATGGGCTTGTGCTGGTTTCGTCTGTCCGGTGTTTGGTATATTTTGAAACGGATCCTGTCCATGCTAAGGTTGGGGTCACCGGGTGTAAAATCCTGTTGCATTGCATACTATTTCGGGGTGCTCAATTAACTGTTAAAGTTTTTTTGAGAGCGAGAGACAATACACACACGGGAATTCGAAAAATAAAGAATTAGGAAGACCGAATACATAAAGGCGCATTGACAAAGATAAACTGATAGTTTAAGGATTTATTGACACTAAACAATAACAACCAAGCTTGTATACACAGCGAGTGTACACAAGTTAGCAGCACTAATAGTAACTTGTCAGTTCTAAAACAAAGCTGACCCCATCTATTGCTTGCAAAGAGGGTATTACAAATCTACCGGGGTCAATATTGCCACGATGCCAGTCTAAACACATCAACATATATCAGATCAAATCACCATTACGCAATCTGTATGCACACCTGGACAGCCAATCAGGTCCTTGAACTTTCGTCGGGGCACGACATTTCTATACGAACTGACGTTCGGGAGTATCTCTCAGAGGCTAATGATAATGGTGATGACGATGTTTTAAGGGCTATACACCTTTAAGCTTATACACGTAAGGGGCGACAAAACGCGGAGGTCGGATTAGGAAACACCCGCTCGGGTTCCCCAAGCGAAAAACCAAGGCTATTGAGTGTGCTTAATAACAAACTTTAATATGATACTTGGGATGAGCATTTTAACTAACATAGATAATAAGACCATCATCACAAGGTGTAGCGTTTGTACTTGAAGATGATATTTTATATACACTAAAGGCCAATGTGGTGTATTACTTACTGCTGAAAAGAGTACCCGAGGGAAATAAAGATTTAATATACATAAGCAATAAAAATACAACGGGCGGTCCCTCAATCTGGATCTGCGACACATCGCTAGATTGAAGTTGAACACCAAATGTTTGGTAGCACCCAGGTTAAGTGTCTGTTCCCGCCATATTCAATGAGTCTGATCATCATGGCGTCGATAATTGTAAGAAGGAAAACCTGTCACAGATGTATGAACCAAATAGTGACCATTGCCTTGTCAAAGTTGAAACCACTGTGCACGTGCCACACCATCCACTAAGTTGTCCGTGGCGAGGGTTGGTGCACTAGGATTTCTATCGTCACTGGACACTGCAATGGGCAATCCCTGAATGCGCTGATGCTCTTCCTGTGACATGTTCCTTCCACAGCGACATCATTTCATGTCAGGTCATGTATCCTATAGCGCCACTATCTCTATGAGCTGTCCATTTCATGGCTTGCAGTTACTGCAGTCGTGTACGACTAAAATCACCTCTACTCACAATCATCAGCAGGACTATGTTTGTGTTTACATGTGTTAGCTTTGCCCTATAATGTACTTGTGGATTGTTTAGAGCCCATGATTAAACTGGAACCACTCTATATAAATACATCACTTTAGATCCTGTTTCTTGGTGTAAAAAACTATATTTTTGTCCTCAACTATTACAAACATCATTATTCTTATGCCATCAAAATTCAGAGCTAACATATACTTTATTACACTTAACATGGAGGTAGTTCAAAGCTAAACTATACTTTATGAAACGAAACATGGAGGTAGTTCAGGGCTAAACTATACTTTATTACATTACACATGGACGTAGCTCAAGGCTAAATTATACTTTATTACGCTTCACGTGGGGGTAGTTCAAGGCTAACCTATACTTTATTACACTAAACATGGAGATAGTTCAAGGCTAAACTATACTTTATTACACTACACATTGGGGTAGTTCAGGGCTAAACTATACTTTATTACTCTACACATGGAGGTAGTTCAAGGCTAAACTATACTTTATTACACTAAACATGGAGGTAGTTCAAGGCTAACTTATACTTTTTAACATTACACATGGAGGTAGTTCAAGGCTAAACTGTACTTTATTACACTACATGTGGGGATAGCTCAAGGCTAAACTATACTTTATTACTCTAAACATGGAGGTAGTTCAAGGCTAAACTATACTTTATTACACTAAACATGGAGGTAGTTCAAGGCTAAACTATACTTTATTACACTAAACATGGAGGTAGTTCAAGGCTAACCTATACTTTATTACACTACACATGGAGGTAGTTCAGGGCTAAACTATACTTTATTACACTACACATGGAGGTAGTTCAAGGCTAAACTATACTTTATTACACTACACATGGAGGTAGTTCAAGGCTAAACTATACTTCATGACACTACACATGGAGGTAGTTCAAGGCTAAACTATACTTTATTACACTAAACATGGAGGTAGTTCAAGGCTAAACTATACTTTATTTCACTACACATGGAGGTAGTTCAAGTCTAAACTATACTTTATTACACTACACATGGAGGTAGTTGAAGGCTAAACTATACTTTATTACACTAAACATGGAGGTAGTTCAAGGCTAAACTATACCTTATTACACTGAACATGGAGGTAGTTCAAGGCTAAACTATACTTTATTACACTAAACATAGAGGTAGTTGAAGGCTAAACTATACTTTATTACACTACATATGGAGGTAGTTCAAGGCTAAACTATACCTGATTACACTAAACATGGAGGTAGTTCAAGGCTAAACTATACTTTATTACACTATACATGGAGGTAGTTCCAGGCTAACCTATACTTTATTACACTAAACATGGAGATAGTTCAAGGGTAAACTATACTTTATTCCACTACACATGGAGGTAGTTCCAGGCTAAACTATATTTTATTCCACTACACATGGAGGTAGTT